AGGAAAACTATGAAACGACATGAGCAGAAATGTAATATATGTTTATTTGGAATCATCCCCAAAAACTTTTAAAGGTGCTCCAGAATCTAAAATGCAATTATTTATTTATCGTGTAGACGATAGAAGACCAAAATATCTCATTATTTCAAAGACAATAGTTTTACTGTTTATGAACTCGTCTGTATATCGAATCCTATGTCTAAATTTAAATATTTCAAATTATCTGTGCCTTTGTCAGAATTCAAGTGGTTGCTTAATGAGACGCTATTGCAAACGGCGTTATTGTTCGTAAATTTGTCCCTCCAAAAATGGACAACCAATAAATTATTATTCTCAACATGACTAATTTATCCTTAGCAACGTATACTTCTCATGGACATGGTACTGGTGAGAAAAAGTAATTTTAAAAACTGTGTATGATTTTGTGTTTTTGCAAGATATAGAGAAATATTTTGACGATTATTCCTAGTTACTCTGGATTCTGATCAGTTTAAAAATCCAGCATATGGAATGACAAAAACTGTCCTAAATCAGGCTATTTGGCATGTACCAGAAGACTAACACGGGCTATAAAGTGGTTTGTGATACAAAGCTTAGTACTTATTTCCCAGATTTTATTTCATAATAACTATCAGAACTAGATCCCCAAATATGACATAATAGAATATTCATGCACATCTTAAAATTGTATATAAATTGTATTGAACGTGTATATTTTCTTTCTAATTGTACCATATTTTGTGTACGAATAAAATATTATTATTATAATTTTGCAGCAACTTCTTCTTAATCACCTTTTACGTCAACTTCTCCTTTATCACCTTTTGCACCAACTTCTCCTTTATCACCTTTTACGTCAACTTCTCCTTTATCACCTTTTACATCAACTTCTCCTTTATCACCTTTTGCATCAACTTCTCCTTTATAACCTTTTACGTCAACTTCTCCTTTGTCAACTTTTACATCAACTTCTCCTTTATCACCTTTTGCATCAACTTCTCCTTTATCACCCTTTTCATCAACTTCTCCTTTATC